ATAATAATAGAAGGGTCAATTTAACAAAATATAGCAATCCTAAATGTACATATACCAACTAACAGAGCTGCAAAATATGTGAAAACAATCTGACAGAATAGAAGAAATAAATCCACAATGATAGCCAGAGACTTCAACACCTCTCTCTCAACACTGGATAGAGTGATTAGACAGAAAGTCCAGAAAAGATACAAAAGAACATCTAACAAGATAAATATAATTGATATTAACAGAACACTCTACCCAACAACCAAAGAAAACACATTCTTTTAAGTGCCTATAAAACATATACCAATACAAACAATATCTTGGGTCATAAAAAATACTCAACAAATGTGTAAGAATTGAAATCATACTGAATATGTTCTCTGACCATAAAGGAACCAAACTAGAAACCAATAAAAGTTAAGATTAAAGGAGATATCTGAGCACTTAGAAATTAAATAACACACTTCTAAATAATCCATAAGTCAAAGAAGTCTCATTGAACTGAATGATGATGAAATACAACACATCAAAATTTGTGTGATAAAGTTTATAGCACTGCTGAGAGTCAAATGTAAAGCACTAAATGCTTATTACATCATAAAAAAGAACAAATCTCAAATCAATAATCTAATCTCCCTCAAGAAACTAGGAAAACAGCAAAAATGTACCCAAAGCAAGCAAGAGGAGGGAAATAAAGATAAGAAATCAGTGAAATTGGAACAGAAAAACCAAATAGTTAATACTAATGAAACAACACGCTAGTTCTTTCAAAAGATAAATACAGTTAATAAACCTCTAGCAAGACTGATAAATAAAAAGAAAGAAGACAAATGATGAGCATTAGTAATGAAATGGGGGCTGACACTACAGACCCTGCAGTCATCAAAAGGATAATAAGGGAATACTACAAACAACCCTATAGGCATAAACATGACAATTTAAGTGACATGGACAGACTTACTACTGAAGAACACAGTAACACAACATAACCAGTATGAAACAGATAATTGAATAGCCCTATGACTGTCAGATAATCTGAGAAACTCTATAACAATTAAGAAAATAGATTTCTTCCCCCCGGAAATGGACTCTTGCTCTCTTACCCAGGCTGGAGTATAGCAGCTTGATCATGTTTCACTGCAATTTCTGCCTCTTGGGTTCAAGCAATTTTCCTGTCTCAGCCTCCTGAGAAGCTGGGATTACAGGCTTACACCACCATGCACAAATAATTTTTGTATTCTTAGTAGAGATGGGGTTTCACCATGTTGGTCAGGCTGGTCTTGAACTCCTAATCTTGTGATCTGCCCTCCTCAGCCTCCCAAAGTGTTGGGATTACAGGTGTGAGTCTCCACGGCTGGCCAGGATATGTAATTTTTAAGTTTAAAGATGTCCATGCCCATATGGTTTCACTGGAGATTCTTCTAAATAATTAACATCTTTTTGAGAAAAAGGCAGATCTTTCTCCATTTATTTTATACGGTCAGTATTAACCTGATCAAAACTAGGCAAAGACAGCACAAAACAGAAAACTTCCAACCAATATTTCTTACGAACATTAAAAAGACAAATGGGTGGTGAGAATGTAGAGCAACTGAAATTCTCTTACACTGCTGGTGGGAGTGTTGATTGGAACAACCGTTTTGGAAAATGGTTTTAGATAATTTACTGAAGTTGAACATGAACATACCTTACTGCTCAGCATTTATACTTCCGGGCATAGACGCAACAAGAATGTTCTCATGTGCTCAACAAAAGACATATACAAGGATGAAAAGACCTGTACAAGGATGCTAATAAGAGCACACTATTCTACCCTCCCCGTCATCCCTACCAAAATATCCACATGCTCATTAGCAGTGGAATGAGTAAGTAAATTACGGCATACATGCACAATGAAAATGAACAAACTTCAATTACAGGTAACAGCATGGGTGAATCTCCTAAGCAATGTTGAACAAAAGAAGCCAGACACAAAAAAGTACATGATGAGTAATTCCATTGATATAAAGTGCAAAAATAAGCAAAATTACTCTATGGTGTTAGAAAACAGGTAAGTGGTTACTCTTCTGCAGTGGTGACTGGTGGGAGCACGGAGGTACCTGGGAGGCTGGTCTTGTCTGTATTTTCATCTGGGTATTGGTTACATCAGATATATATATATATATCTCTGTAATCATTTTTAAAGACTTTCATCATTTTTATAAATAATATAAAAAAAATTACAGGCGCAGTGGCCCACGTCTGTAATCACAGCACTTTGGGAGGCCAAGGCAGGTGGTTTGTCTGAGATCAGAAGTTTGAGACCAGTCTGGCTAACATTGTGAAACCCGTCTCTACTAAAATCACAAAAATAAGCTGGGTGTGTGGTGGGCGCCTGTAATCCCAGATACTCAGGAGGCTGAGGCAGGAGAACTGCTTGAACCCGGGAGGCGAAGGTTGCAGTGAGCCAAGATTGTGCCACTGCACTACAGCCTGGACGACAAGAATGACCCTCTGTCTCAAAATGTGTGTGTGTGTGTGTGTGTGTGTGTGTGTGTGTGTGTGTGTGTGTTCCAATTTTACAGAGACACTGAAGCAGACAGCAGTTCAGAGGCTATGCCAAGGTTGCAGAACCAGTAAGTAGTGGAGTGGGGATTTGAACCCCTGGAGTGGGGCTGCTGTGCTCTTAACCACTAAACTAGACTGTCTCTTAATCCTTAAGAGCGCAAAGGCAATGAGGAGAAAAGGAAGCCTCAGATAGGATTGTTCAAAAGCACAGAGTCTGAGGTGATCTGAGGAAGGGCAGGCAGGTATAGCAATCTGAAGCTCTCATAGACACCTCTTTATGCCAGTGGCACATGGGCTGATTGAACCAATATTAGCAAAGACAGCCAGATATAATGTCAGAAAAGGTTAAGGATTTTCGTACACTGTACTCTGTTTATCGAGGCAAGGGATTCTTAAAAGATTTTGGGTTTAAGGTACAAACTCTGATTCCATCTAGAAAAATCATTTATGTTAAATGTTCAATTATCTCAGAATGCCAGGGAATGAGTGTGTGTGAGTGTTGTGTGTGTGGGTGCACAGGCTACACTTTCTCAGGGATAAAGTATAGTTTGGTCTTGAAGAGAGAAAAATACCATATCATTAGTCTTGTTTAAAAGTATGGGAATTACAATCTTGTAATTAGCCCAGGTTATAATTATAGGCCAAAGCAGGACGACTTAATGCAATCACTGCTGAAGCAATAACTTAAACTATCATATGCAAAACCACTGTCTGGAGTCTTAATTAGGAAAAAGGGATTACTGTATAATATTCATTCTGTCAGTTCCTTTTATTGTAGAAATAGGAAGGTGTACTCATATAGGAATTAAATGCAAGAATAAGGGATCTGACCTGTACATTCATGACACAATATTATCCGTAAGTACAGAATGGAAGAGAGTAGCTTAAAAAGCCAAATGAGTCAACTAAAAGCTCGTACTGTCTTCGAGAACATGTACAGCACATCCTTACTAATGCTTACTAAAACTGAGTTTTCATTGGAAACACTTCCTGGAAATAGCTCAGAAAATTATTTCCAAATTTAAAAAGGTTTGCAGATTGAAATATTCTGTGAGCCCCTTTTCTAATAAAAAGCATACACAATTTACATGTTTGATATGACTTAATCCATAATCTATGTATCCAAGCCACTTAATGAGAAAAAACACAAAGGGATGAAATCATTTGCTTATCATCACACAGATAAGAAGCCAAAATTAGGAGTGAAGCCATTCTACATTCCTGCTAAGATTGCTGTTTTGCAGATATCTGGCTGCCCTGGTAGGTACTCCTGGAAACAAACCAAAGATCTAAAAAACTCAAAGCCCAAGTGGCCTTCTTTGCCCAGTTAACCTTCTTGCACTGGGTATTCTCTGCTTGCCAATCTGGTTTCCAGACTCCTCAAGCTCTTCTCCCGTCTTGATGCCTCAGTTTCTCTCAAGAGATGAGCAACCCCCTTTGTGACTTCATAGCCATGCTCTGCTCAGATACTCTTCCTCGAAATTCTCCTTTGACTTTTATTTAACCTCTGCTTATTTTCTATGTACCTTATTTGTATTTGCATGTCTGGACGCAAATCATCTGCAAAGCATCTCATGATACCTTTCCGTTAAGTTCACTATTCCGAAACCAATAGAATAGCTTTAGTATTTTGTATCGCATACAAAAATGACTTGTTAAAAAAAGTCTCTGAATTATCTTTCTACCCATCATATGTATCTAAACTAGACAAAATACAACATACAGGATGAGAAAAAGAAAAGAGAAGTATAGAAAAAAATCTGTCTTTAGTGTTTTAAAACTTGCTTTGAAATACAAACATTTCTTGAAATGCAGAAGTGAATGTGATGAATGTTAAGTGGAGATTTTTTCACCTTAACTGACTGATCAGAAGAGTATTTATAACCCCTAACTGATGTCTTGAGCTGATAAATCAACACCAGGGGAGAATATTTCAAGCACATTTATCATTGAAGACAAACAGCCTATACGGACCATGATTATTTTTTATTCATCATTTTGGCTCACTGCTCTACATGTGCTCCTTTCTCAATGTTAATAATATCTATATTAAGACTTCTCAATATTTAATGTTACAGATTGCTTGTTGCATGCTGATGAGGTTAAGGTCATATGTCTGATCTCCAGAATGCCAATTAGCTTCACACACACACAAATAAATACAAGAGAGAAAAAAGGAGGGGAGGGGGGCTGTGTCTATTTCTGAGGGAAGCCTGATCTTAGCTTCCTTGTAATATCCATTGTTGGTCTCAACATCATAAAAATTACAGAATTCAAGGTGTAAGGGAAATTATGGGTAGCTGTTCTGACATACTGGCCCAACTATATAGAAGCTCACACTTGGCAGACAAAAGACCAGCAGCCTGGAGCGCCACCACTCAGCTCAGTTAACACTCAGCACAGTCCACCAGGTCACTATTGTCAATGCTATCTCCAAAGGATGGTGACATAAACGAGAATCTTACCTGTTCATTCTCCTCTTCATCACTGCTTAGCTTAAGGTCATCTTCCAGCATTCTGAAAGAAGGAGAAAAGAGGTGCAGATAGTCAGTAAATTCAGAATAATTCTGTACCAAAAAAAAAAAAAAAAATCACCTTTATTAGAGCAACATTTCAGGAGTAAGTGTGTTTGATTTCCTCATTTTTTTCTTTCCTTCTTATGCACTTTTCCTCTGGTGCACTTAGGAAGCAGCAGACAGTCCCTTCATAAAAATTAACCCTCATAGAAGTCATCAGCTAAGACGGGCAGCTTTCAGAGGATGCTGCGTTAGTAGGGAAATAACACTTACCAATAATGTATATTTCAAAATAGCTACAAGAGAAGAACTGGAATGTTCCCAACAAGAAAAAAAGGATACATATTTGAGGTGATGAATATCCTAGTTACCTTGATTTGATCATTATACCTTGAAAACCTGTATAAAAATATCACAAGTACTCCAAAAATAGCAATAAAAAAGAAGATGCTTTTTCCCTCCCAAAATACATAGGGGCTTTTCCTTGGGCAGTTTGCATTCCACAATTACTTGTTTAGTGTTTTCCATGCTCCCAGTGCTGGGCTGTGTCCCCACACCTGCCCTGGGGGCTTACATGGAAAAGAGAGGTGAGAACAAGAGCCATAAAACCATAAACTCAGGCCATCATTCAAAGAGCTGGAAAAGACGTTGTCCCCCAAAGCCTACCGAGTGGGGAAAACAAAGCAGGAGAGTGCTTTCTGAAAAGCCTGTGAAGGTGATTCCCCAGCCCGCTCAGGTCCCCCCATTCATCCTCAGGAGACAGTGGGGAAGCACGTTAAAAGTGAAAAAAAGAAACACAACTTCAGACTCTGTTATTCGTGATGATAGTACCGTATTCTTTTCAGGACGGCTGAATTGTTTCTTTATAGAATAGTAGTTTTCAGATTAATTCATTTCAAAAGAAATCTTACTCAGAAGTGCACTGTATAAAAGCGTGCTCTCCGCTCAGAGCCGCTCTGCCAGCAAGCAGGGGAGAGCCCGCTTCTGAGGGACCCTGGGGCTCCATACATCAGTGTGGAGGCCGCCAAGCCCTTGTGCTCAAAGGCCTCATTGAAGCGCTTCCAAAGGCTGTCCCCTAAAATGTACCCAGTGTCCTTTAAAAGCCGGTTATAGGCCTGTCACTGATATATGCTCTGAACACTGGTAGAAGTCATTTCAGTCACTTTTGGGGTGAACTGGGGGCTAAAGAACTGGCAGGATAAGGCATGGCCCCAGCTCTGCCTCACCTGTCTATGCATTTGGTGCAAGTCGCTTCACACACCCTGTCCCCATTTCCCTACTTGTGAAGTGACGAGTTGTAGAGGGCAATCCTAATGTCAAATCCTGCTTTAGATTCTGTTGTGAGCCTACAAAATGAACATGCTCCCTAGTTTTGTCAAGTAGAAAAACGCTTTTATTTGTTCTAGAGAACACAATGAAGAAACTTCTAAGTAGTTTTTGGGGTACCATTTGAGCCATTATCATCAGGACATCAAATCTCTTCCTCACAGGCTCCTGCTCATCTCCCAGTGCCGAGAGATGTCGTTCTTGTATTATTTAAACCACAAGTGAACAAATGAACATGTCAGCAGAGGCTGCAGAGTGGCACCCCCTATTCCTCTGCACATCCAGCATACCATTCATTTCTTTCCCCTCCAGACATACATGCTCTGCTTCAAAGAGAAGAGACCTCTCTGTGATTTATTAGAGCATTGTTCGGGAGTAGTCTAGGGAAGGGGACTGTGTTTCCTTTGTCCTTGAGTCCTCAGTGACCAGCACAGTGCACTGTGCAGGAAGCACAATACCAGTTTGCTGGCTGGGCTGAGGCACCTTGCCCAAGACCATTTTTCTACCCAAAGGCACAGATTTCTTCCTAACGAAAAAGGCCAGAGAAGGGGATGTGTCCTTCCCTCCACTCCTGTACCCCACTGCAGTGTGGTTTAATCTCCAGGACTGCCCAACAAGCACTGGGTCTTTTAAGGGTGGGTGGTCCTGCTGGTGGGAGTGGAAAGCGTGAGCAGGACTCACACAATCATGGTTAACAACCCCTTTGCTGTCAGATGGAAGTTATGTGGCTGGGAAATTTAACCTTTAAATGGACGATAGTGTGCATGGATTGGGAGGCCACCATCTCCCAGAGCAGGAAAGCCCAACAGACCCCGAAGTGAGAGAGCTTAGGTTGGCAGCAAAGTAGCTATGCAACTCACCACCTGAGGCTGGCATGGCTGAAAGTCACCAAAACAGTCAAAATGCTGTGTGAGGCTGTCTTTCAAGGTAGAGAATGCAGCTCATGTTTGTTTATTTCAAACATGTGCTAAATGTGCCCACACATAAACACGTGTCTGTTTGAATCTCAGAGTCCCTTGTACCAACATCCCGTGTGAGGTGCACTTCTGGGGCTGAGTATTTGTGCTTCTGTAATGAGACTCATCTATCTCATCGTCATTTCCAGAAGAAAAGCAGTAGGGGATCAACCTTGCTTTGTGAATAATCATCACTCTATCACTGACTTTACCTCTCTTATATTAAAAAAATGAATTTATTGTGTTTCTGGCTAGGTTCTAAAAACAACGAATCACATGTAAAAATAGTCTGCCTTCAAGAGAGACTTCAAGAGAAGTTCAAATCTAGTTAAACTTCAGAATATCTCAAAATTTGAGAAGGTGGCCATGGAAACACAAAATCACACCCTTATACAACATTCCCAGAGCAATCCTGGGTGGTGCTACTCCCAAAACACAAAGTCACAGATTCGGGACAGACAACCATGGCCATGCCGCACCCCAGCCCCGAGAGGCACACAGGCACACCCAAGGAGACCCAGGCTCCCTGAGGTCTGAGAGCAGCAGCCCTCTGCTTTATTCTGATGGTCATGAGCAGGCCCTCAGCTCAACTCCCTATACATGGTGCTTATTCTTGTCTGTGACCACTGCATCTTCAAGTCCAGTTTAACATTCACAAACAACTCCATGTTTAATGCTGAACGTATCCGGGTGGCCTCTCAGAGGGCGCAAGGAGAGGCTGAAGTTCATAGCTGAACAATGAAACTCTCTTCTAACAATGGTTAGAAGAGAAAACGCGTGACACCCATAGGATCACAGGAACTGTCTATACTTGGTGTGTGGCCAGCAGATGGCAGGCATGGCCACCGTCACCAAACACTCGAATGGCACTATGGGGGTCATGTGCCAGACCCATTCCCAAACCCTGGGGAACATTTTTATCATTTGTCTATTTCCAAAAGGAAACAGATTGGCATAGGTATATCAAACAATAAACAAACGAACTAAGTGTTCAACCAAGAGTAAAAGGAAGATACAAATTAAGTGCTGGATAGGCGACTGGGCAGAGGTGGAGATCTCCTACTGTGTTATTTATTTATTTAAAAAAAGCCTACAGCACCCAGTATTCCCAGGCGGTCTCCCATCCAAGTACTAACCAGGACTGACCCTGCTTAGCTTCCGAGATCAGACGAGATCGGTCGCGTTCAGGGTGGTATGGCTGTAAACTGTGTGTTTTGTTTTTTTTAAAGGGAAGGCAAAGACCCTGCTGCTTTAAGGGGTCCCCCGAGGGCTGAGTCCAGGACTGGCCATCTGCATGGACCACCCTGGCTACACCCCTACTCTTGGTTCCTCCAGGCCGACCTCAGCTGATAGGGCCCCCACCCAGGGCCACCCTTTTCACGGTTCCCTCAGCCCCTCCTCTTCATAGCCTTTCAGATCCCCCCCAGAGGATGGAGCCCTCGACTCATAGCAGCAGCTCTCATTGTTGAAGCGATGTCTGACCGTGCCAGCCCAGCTAAGTGCTTTCTAGATGTTACTTGTTAATCCCTGCAGCAACTCCTCTAAGTTGGGGGATGGGTGCTTTAGGGGCTGCAGACGGCGGTGGTCACAGCAGGGACTCCAGAATCCCACTGCCCAGGAGGAATGCTAGCTCTGCCTTTCATCTAGCCCAGGGCCCTGGGACCTGCCTCAGAGTGCTTCCCGGAGAACTTATCCCTCAATCCTTGGATAGTGCTAAGCGTGGGACCTGCTACCAAAGAGCCCCCAGTCAACGCTCGTTTTTACCAATATTCCCTTTTCCCTAGAAGGGAAATAGGCCTCTGAGCATTTAAGAAACTCATGAGGATAAAGAAGTCGAGAGACTTTGAGATGTCTTTGTAATGATGCCTAATGCTCTACTTTCAGGCCATTTTTTGAAAGAAAGGGTGATGTTCCTGAGAGATGGTGGAGGGGAATATATTTTGGCCTTCAACTGCTCTCCGCTGGTCTGAATGGTTTATGTGCCCATCAGTCCCACTGCACAGGGAGGTCTGCCTTGGGAGCCAGTGGCTGCGAGGCCAGGAGTACCTCTAAGCAGGGGTGGGGAGGGGTGCTGCCAGATGACAATGGGTAAGTTGAAATAAAATAGATAATAAAATTGAACTTTTCAGCTGTGCACACTGGCTCGCTCCTGTAATCCCAGCACTTTGGGAGGCTGAGGCTGGCAGATCACTTGAGCCCAAGAGTTTGAGACTAGCCTGGGCAATATGGCAAACTTCTGTCTCTATAAAAAATATAAAAATTAGACAGCCATGATGGTGTGCACCCGTAAACCTAGCTATTAGGGAGGCTGAGGTGGGAAGACTGTTGTGGTGACTTTCAAAAGCCCTGGAGGTCAAGGCTGCAGTCAGCTGAGATTGCGCCACTGCACTCCAGCCTGGGCATGAGACGCTGTCTCAAAAAAAAAAAAAAAAAAATTGAACTTTTTGAATTGAGACCAGAGAGCAGAGGTGCAGCCTGAGGTGAGGACAGACCTGGGCTTCATGGCCTTAACACCTGAAGAGTTATCAAACTACTGTCAGGAATACTCCACGTTAGCACCTCATGGTAACCACAGAGTCTGAATCAGGTACATGAGAATTTTGACACTTTAAGGACATAAGCAAGATTTTTTTTTTAATGTGTTATTAAGTGACTGAGATTCCACTCACTTTTACTTGGGAACTTGTTCTTAAAATGATTGTTGGGCATGTTTTAACACCCTTCCTGACACACGCAAACAAGGAGTGTCGAGGGTTTTGATCCCCCAGCTGCACTGGCTGACACTTTCATGCAGGGGAAGAGGGTCTTGCAGGAGCTCTGTGGAGGAAAGAACACAATGGGACTTTGATTCAGAACTCTACAGAGGGAGCCAAAGATAAACAAGCCCATTTGCAGTTTGCCGCCTCCTACCCTGGAGGACCTTTTTCTTTCTGAAAGGGAAAAATGAATAGAAACATGCCTCATCACCACCAGCGAAATCAGCATCCAAACTCTCAATTGTTGTTTTGTTTTGTTTTAGAGACAAGGTCTTGCTCTGTTATCTAGGCTGGAGTGCAGTGGCACAATCAAAGCTCACTGCAGCTTTGAACTCCTAGGCTCAAGCAATCCTCCCACCTCAACCTCCCAAGTATTCGAAACTACAGACACTGGCTACCATGCCTGGCCAAACCCCTCGTTGCTGACTCATTCAATTATTTCTGTGTCCACTGTGTGGCAGGCACCTATCCACAGAAGGTGTACTGTCTTCCCGGGGTGGTTCCCTCACTCATGACATTCACATCATCACATCAGCATTGTCCTTTTACCTATTTTTAAATGCCTTACAATTGTGAAGCTCCGGTGTATACAACTTTTGCAGAACCCAACCGTGTCATTTGAAGGTAAACTCAGTACTTTTCAGAAAAGGGAGTAATTCAATACAACCTTTACAATTTTAACATTTGATCACCATAATTTTCCTGTGTGTATTATTTTCTTAATTGATCAAGTGATAAATTTATGTTGTAGCTGGTGCCTGCATTTCTGAGGCCTAAAATTTCTTGGAAAGCAGAAATAGCAGCCTACCCTTAACAGATGGCCAACTGCTTCCAAAGCTCATCTATAGTTTCCACAGGTATTGCAAACGGGCACATTAACTACCTTCAAATGTAATGGCAGCCATTTCACAGAGTAGTGGTTTTTAATTAATAGGATTTTCCCTGAATTACCTGTCATTTGGGGCCCTTAACAGATCGGAATCCTTTTCGTCCTTTAAAGTTCGTTTCATTTTGTTTCGTTTTAATGTGTGTGTGTGTTTTTTTTTAAATCTGAATTTTAATTGGGCTGTTTGATTTTCAGATTTGTTTCTATAGCTGGTGCTGCTACTATCTTCACCTACATGAGATTTAAAGTCAAAGACAAAGGTTTATGAATCTCCATTAAACATATTCACATACGCAAATATCTATTCTAACAATTAGCATTGCCTGAGAGCCTATTCACTATGCAAGTGCACCTCTCTTCAGGTATTCCCCAAGCCATCATCTCCACTGCTTGGAACACGGGAGGGAAAGTTCCACAACTCATTTCATTCTTTCTGAAGGCTACTGCTCTGTCAGGGTCAGTGCTACCATCTGTCTGTGGATATTTTCATTAACAATTAACCATCTTCTTTTCTCGGCATTTGTTCGCAAGAACTTAGCTCATGCCATCCCAGTTAACTGGGAACAGGGAAGGCTAGCATGGGCTCACTCTGGGAGTTGGCAATTTAGTGCATCCAAGGCACGGATGAAGTCTATTAGTCTGGAGGCCAACAGAGAAATCAGGAACAAGATGAAGGGGTGCTGTACTTGACCTAAGTGTTTCCAACTCTGATGTTTTCAAACCCAGGGATTTCTATATCTTTTGAAGCAATTTGGTTCATAGCAAGGTGGTATTTGCTCATGCATATCTCCTTCCTGGACTCCCTCCCTCCCAGGATCTGTTGTGATTGTCAGTGAAATCATCAATGATCCTGTAGCTCTCTGTGTTGAACCTGAGGTTAAGGTGCACTGTCTTTCTTATGTTTATGCTCTTATTTTTAGTTAGGGACAGCGACTTCTGACAATCCTCTTCCCCAATGACATGCTGAGCCCACTTGCCACCTTCTCTGCAGGTCCATCTTCCCCGGGGAATAGCATCTCATTTCCTACCCTAGAAGATCCTCACAAAAGCCAATCTCATTTGGGAAACCTGCCAAATCCTGGTGAGATACCGGATGATGTGTTTCTTCAAAATCTCAATCAGTCAACTGCCTTTCCCAATAATATGCATATCTATATTAATAGGAAATAACTATAAATAAAAAGAAAATGGAAATCAACAGTCATAAGAAGAAACAGTGGCATAGAGTCTGGGGTGGTGATAAGTTTTGAAATGGCAGCTTGGAGGCTAGCCAGCATTAGCGTCTGAATGCCGTCCCTAACTAGCTCTATGAACTTAGGCAAATCAGCCACTTCCTGTAGACATTGTTTCCGCATCTCTAAAGTGAGAGTTGGATAAAAAACCTCTATATTCTCTTGTTGGTCTGAATTCCGTGGTTTTGTGCCTTTGCCAGTGGGTGGAATGTCCCAGAAGACTGCTGGAGAATGAGAAAGGGCATTTGAGATGATCTGATACTACTCAGTTGAAAGTAAAACAAACAAGTTGGTATCTGAGTAAATGGCACCAAGATCCAACAGGAGCCAGGAGTCCTGGGCGAAGTTCTCCATTTCCTTATGTTCAAGTTAAACATTCCAAAGGGTTTTTCTAAGAATTCAACAGAAAATGGATGTGGGATGTGGCAGTGCTTTCAGACAGTGGAGTGCTGTGTAAACACAGAATGTCTGAACACTTTATGAAGATATTCCTCATGTAATATGGTGTGTGGGATAAAACCTCCCCTTCAGGCTCTAGTCCTGTAAACATGTAATACTGAAGTGGCATCTCTGAAACCAAGAATAAAGGCAACAGCCAGACTGTACCCAAGTTCGCCTGCAAAGAGTATGCCAACTACTGAACTGGGGGATGGTACCAGCTCCCCACCTGGGATTGAGACAGAAGTGTTTGTACCTCTCTTGTAAACTCACCCAGTCAGCTCTAGTGTTCTTTAGACTCTTCCCTATACTGGTGAATTGTGACCCCCCCCACTCATGCCTAACAGCTTTTTGGTAGTTAAAAAAGAACTATATGATAGAATAAGGTTCTGGTGACCTATTACATAGTATAGTGACTATAGTTACTAATAATGTATATTTCTAAGTAGCTAAAAGAATGGATTTTAAATGTTCTCACTACAAAGAAATAATAAATATTTGAAGTCATAGATATGTTAATTAGTGTGATTTGATGGTTCCACAATTTATATATGTATGAAAACATCACACTCCACAAATATCTACCTATTTGTCAATTAAAAATAAAACTTTTTAAAAGAAAATAAAAACAGCCTAAGAGGATTTTTCTATAAATACAATCAGATGGCATATAAGTTGATCATCTCCATAGATGTATAGAAACCATTTGACAAAATCCAACATTTTAAAAAATTCAAACACTCAACAAAGTAGGTATGGATGGAATACACCTTAACATAGTAAGGCCACATCATATTTGACAAGCCCATAGCTAATATCAGACTTAACAGTCAAAGATGGAGAACTTTTCCTCTAAGATCAGGAATGAGAAAAGGATGCCCACTCTTATAATAT